TGTATTTCATTGGTAGGTACTGGTAGCTTAGTGGTTGTGAGCACACATGGCCTTTGGAATCAGGGAAGACCTACCTCTGTGTCCTTGGATAAGGATCCCTGGTGGCATAGTGGTTAAGCACTGGACTGCTAACTGAAAACTTGCTGATTTGAATCCCTCAGCTGTTCAGCAGAAGAAAGATGTAGCAGGCTGCTTCTGTAACGATCACAGCCTTGGAAACCATATGTGGGCAGTTCTCTCTCCTGTAGGGTCATTTGATGTAATTAACTCAATGACATTGGGTTTGGTTTTGTCCCTGGATACTGAACTCTTTTACATCATCTGCCATATATAATAAGTAATAGTAATCACACATAATAAGAGCTCCACATTAGTTATCTTTCATAAATAGTGTACTGACATGCCTCTGGCAATGAGGGAGAACTGCCAGACATAGGTTGTTAGTGCACAGAATAGTTCGTGATGGATTTTTTATTGTTGTAAATGTGAAATGTTGGATAAGGAGATAGTTGATGAGCGAGGAGTAGAGGAATTTCAGGCACCTCAGAAGCATCTCTTATGTCCTTTTCATCTCTCCAAAGGTTATTTCTGAATAAATATTACAAGTGTAGTTTTGCTTGCTTTTGATCTGTGTATTCTTTTTATGTGTGTTTCTTTTGTTTAGTATTCTTCAGGTTCATACAAATTGTGTGCAGCCGTAATGTGTTCATTTTCATTATTACAGAGTATTCCATTTTATGAGTATATTACAGTTTATTCATTCTACTGTTAGTGGATATTTGGGTTAGTTATTCTAATTCTGGATAATGCTGCTGCTATGATATTCTTCTTTGTGTTTTTTGATAGTATGTTCATGCCTTTTTGTTGGATATACATATATCTAGGAGTAGGATTACTGGATCATAGACTGTGAACATGTTTAACTTCAGTAGATAATGCCATTGTATTTTCTAGAGTAGTTGTAAGGGCTGGTCTACTTTAGTTTCATCTTTACTCCTAGAATCGTGCCCTTTAGGGTTCCAACTCAAAACCTGAAGAGTTTATCAGAGCTTTCAAATAGTCCTACTAGTCCCACAAGGCTGTCAAATGAAAAGGTGAGTTTCTCAGCCTTTCAGTTGCCTCGCTGAGAATTCGTAGAGATACCTGGGGAGTGGAGGACAGTGGTTGCTCACTGATAGAATTCTCACCTTCCATGCTGCAGGCTCTGTTTGATTCCTGCCAGTAAACCTCCTAGACAGCCACCACCTATCTGTTAGTGGAGTCTTGTGTGTTGCCTTGATGATGAACCGGTTTCAGAGGTGCTTTCAGACTATGAAGAAAGGCTAGGTGATCTGCTTCTAAAAATCAGCAAGTAAAAACTCTGTGAACCACAATAATTCTATTTGTTGTACATGGGTTGCCAGGAGTCTGGGGTGGAAGTGGGGCACTGATGGTACTGTAGCTAATAACAACAATAGAGATATCCTGAGGGGAACAGGGGCTCCAAATACCAGGCTGACCTTTCTGAATGACTTCTCTCAGTTCTTGGCCTGTCATTCATTCTTCATTACCTTGCTTGCTCTCTGATGGTTTCAGTCAGAGGTTTGCATTTTCATTTTAATGGTTTATATCCGTCTTTTCTAGTTCTCAGTGGGAAGGTTTGTCCTAACTGAAAGTCTCTTTCTTCCACCTTTCTGATGCTCATTTAACAGTGTATTATAGAGTTCTCTCCAGATCAGTATACAGAGAGGCCTGCTTTTGCCTTTTTTACCGCTGAATTGTGTGTGTTCACTGTGGGACCACTAGTCCGTTACTCATGCATATTTGGGTTCCTAATATTTTGCTGTTTAAAGCAGTGCTTGTATATACTTAATTGGATGTGCAGATATATTTTAGGATAAATTTCTAGGAGAGGGAAACTCTGGGAAAGGATAAATGCATTTGAAATTTCCATCCTATATAAGGGCTTAACCGTTTTGCATTCCTTGAATGCCTACTTCTATACACTCTTGCCAACAGAGTATGGTCAAAGTTTGATTTTGTTGATTTTTTTTTAGATGAAAAGTGCTATGTTAGTTTAATTTTAATTTTTATCTCTCTTAAATGCGTTGTTGAACATGTTTTTTTAAATGTTTTATTGTGAATTATATGGTAGTTTACATGAGAGAACTTTAGTTTTATATTCATTCTATTGTATATCGTTTCATTGCCATGGCTCCAATTCCCCTCCATGCATCATCAACTGACCAAAGGGTATACCCTACAAACCCGCCCCCTACACTCCCTCCCCACCCCATTCTTCAGCACACAGTCCCTCTCCCTCTCTGGATCCAAAGTCCCCAGCCGCTTCATCACTCCACGTCATCATCTTTGCCTCTATCTCAGGCCTCGCTGCTTCTCTGGGTAGGGTCCCGTGTTGAGCATGTTTTGTATTTGTTTTTTTTTATCTCTTTCTGTGAATTGTTTGATCTTGCCCTTTGTCCATTTCTATTAGGTTTCTGAGCATTTTCTTACTTTTTCTAGTTGTATCAACAATAAACGTTAATGAAATTAGCCCTGGTGGCCCAGTGATTAAACGCTTGGCTGCTAGTAGAAAGGTTGGTGATGTGAACCCACCAGCCGCTCTGTAAGAGAAAGATGAGGCCGTCTGCTTCCATAAAGATTGCAGCCTTGGACACCCTGTAAAGCAATTCTACTTTCATCCTGTAAGGGTCACGATGAATCAGAATTGACTTAACTGCACGCAGCAACAAACTTAGTGAGATGTCTAATTAGACAATATCTTATTTAATCCTTACAACAATTCTTCTGCCAGGGTGCTATTATAGTCTCCATTTCACATATAAAGAAATGGAGGGAAAGTAAGATGAAATAATTTTCAGCCATTGGTTACAAAGAAAGCAGTGAAGCCAGGGTTCAAATTTGAGGCCAGGTGTTTCTAACTCCACACCTGAACTTTTAATGATGCTGTTAAAAGCTGCCTCCCTAGGATATAGGGAGAAAGAAAAAATAAAATCTGTCTTTAATTGCCCTTTATTTGCTGAAAACTTTTTTCCTGCTTTGCTTCTACTGTGCTTTTCGTCATTTTTTTTTTGTTGTTGTTGTTGTTCTTTTTTTTTTTCTCTGAAAACATTTATTTAGCTTCAATCTTGTATCAGGTCCTAGAGATCCAAAATTAGTAAGATTTGATCTCTGCCCTCAAAAGGCTCACTGTCTAGATGGGATAGCCGGATAGCCTGTTAAAAAGTTATAGGGTTACATGTATATGTATGTACAAGGAGGAAGCAACCGTCTTCAGCAGGAGAAGGGATGGATTTTCATGGAAGACTTTGCAAAGGAGGTGACTTTTGACTTGGATGTTGGAAGATGAATTGGGCGTCCAGATAAAGTGACAAAGAGCATTTCAGACAGAGGGGACAACGGGATCAATATTTAGCATTGCCTCTTTCCAGTTTCGTGAGGTATTTTATATTTGAGAATTTATTAAATATCTCAGCCTTAATTTTATAAATCTCAATATTTTTTTTTCTTATCTCAAAGGACTGATGTTTTAACAAATTTCATGCCTTCCTATGAGTCTCACTCTTACTCTCTCTATCCCTTTCTCTTACTAGTGGGGGCCCTTGGAGTCACTGATGGAAGCCACATTACCTGGACACCGGACCATGAACCCCTGTCCTGTGTGGGAGAGGAAGAGTGGCTGTGTGTACTTGTTCTTCATCTGTGTGCGAGACCATGTCACCGAGCGGCAACAGATTGTGTCAGGCAGGAACGCTGCCCGCCTCTGCTTAATCTGTAGTAACGATGCTGGGTGCTCATGGAGTGAGGTGAGGGATCTGACTGAGGAGGTCATCGGCCCAGAGATGAAGCACTGGGCCACATTTGCTGTGGGCCCTGGTCATGGCATCCAGCTGCAGTCAGGAAGGCTGGTCATCCCTGCATACACCTATTACATCCCTTATTGGATCTTTTGCTTCCAGCTATCCTGTAAAACTAAACCTCATTCTCTGATGATCTACAGTGATGACCTAGGTGCCACATGGCATCATGGCAAGCTCATTAGGCCCACGGTGACAGTGGAGTGTCAGGTGGCAGAGGTGACTGGGAGGGCTGGCCAACCCGTGCTGTACTGCAGTGCCCGGACACCAAATAGGCATCGGGCAGAAGCTCTAAGCACTGACCATGGTGAAAGCTTTCAGAGATCAGCCCTGAACTGCCAGCTTTGTGAGCCCCCACGTGGCTGCCAAGGCAGCGTGGTGAGTTTCTGGGTCCTGAAGCACGCACATAAGTGCCAGGACCCTTGTGGCCAAGATGTTCCCACAGTTCAGCAGAGCCCCCTACTAGATAGCTCACTAAGACTAGAGCAGGAAGCTGGAACACTGTCAGAATCATGGCTCTTGTACTCACACCCAACTAATAAAAAACGGAGGATCAACTTCGGCATCTACCTCAACCAGGCCCCCTTGGAGGCCACCTCCTGGTCCCGTCCCTGGATTTTGCACTATGGGCCCTGTGGCTACTCTGATATGGCTGCTGTGGAGGAGGGATTATTTGGCTGCTTGTTTGAGTGTGGAATCAAGCGGGAATGTGAGCAGATTGCCTTCTGCCTGTTTACAGTCCAAGATATCCTGACTCACGTGCAGGAGGACCACACTAGTCCTGGTAGGAACCCTGAACCAGTTCAGGACTAATTGATTTAGGACCTAACCTTCCATGAAGGAACAATGGAGCCCAAGGTAACTAGAAGTTCTGAAGTCCACAGAGAATCCAAAAGCTTCATATTCTGCTCCTTACCCTAGTGCCGCAGCTGACATAGAGCATCCATTCCTCCATTTTCAAAGAACAAAATGAAAATTTTGCCATAGTAACTACAATGGAAAGAACACTGAATTGAAAGCTGGAAAACAATAATGTAGTCCATTCTTTGTGATTGACTTGCTTTGTGACATTGGACATATCACCTGACGTCTCTGGGCCTCAGATCTCTATTTGTAAAATGAGAGAATTGATTCTCTGATTTCTCTCTTCCCATTCAGAGAGAAAGCCTTCAGCAGAGAGCCTGGGTGCTCTAGGATCAGCAAATCCTGGCTGCCTGTAAGATTGACTTCAACATGGAAATCAGAGGACTTTGACTTTTCAAATGTCTCTCCCTTCATTCAAGTGTGAGGTTACAAGAGGTGTCATTGCAGGAATGAGGGTCCACCATTCTCATCATGCTCAGCCTTCTATGGGCTCTCTGTCTGAGAGGAGTTGGGCAGAACGTTACAATCATGGGGTCACTTACCCTTTGCCAGCTTTGCTGCTCTGCTCAGTTTCCCCTTCCTCATCCAGGAAGTATTTCTTTGGGAGAAATAAGTAGCTCGGAGTCAGTGGTCCTTGATAATGGTATTTGTTGCTTCTGATTGCATTACTCCTATGAAATTCCTTTACGAGGATGACCCCTGATGGAAAAGGGACAGGGGTTAGGATGTTAAACTTCCCACAGTCTTTATCCTTAAGGAGCTCACAATTTGTGGAGCTAGAAGAAGAAGAAAATGCAACTGATGTGGTAATTTGTAGATGTCGGGCTATAAAGTTGAGAGCACCTACTGGGTTGATAGAGCCTTTGTTGCATTTCCAGTTTGACTGAAGTCATCTGCCCAAGGGCTTGTCCATGCTGTGCAATTTCTCCCAAGTTTGTTTTTCTCAGAATGTTGTCCTGGCCCAACTATTTTTTGACCCCTTCAGAAGGTATTCAACCTCATCATTAGGAAGGTCCGTGGATCCTCAAGCCTCTGAATGGTGCCTATTCATTTTTTTGTGATGTATGGATGCCTCTATCATAAATTTGGGCCTGAATTTAGTCTGTGCTAGGTCTCTCAAATGATACTAGTTGGTTGGTCATATTTTAGATGGTTTCCCCAATACCTGCTAATTGTGATAGAAATTATATCATGAGAGCTTCGTTTCTTTGGGTAGGAAAGCTCTTTTGTCTCTATTTTAGGAAGATAATGCCTTAAACTGGATAATGCTCACAAAGAGCAAGTCTTAATAGTGGAGGGCCCTACAGGATGAAAGTAGTGACTAACTTCACCTACTTCAGCATACTGCTTAAGTCTGTAGTAGTTTAGACGGGCCTTTAAAATTTCCCTTAGTTTTTCACATATTGTCCAAATAACCTTCCCCATACACAGTTATGATCCTGCATTCACTCATGTGTACATTTCTCTAAATGTGTCCTGAGTTCCTGTGCATAATGCAATGTACTTCATATTTTCACTCCTGGATTGAAAATCACTTGTGGCTCCAAATTGCCTTGAAATGGTCTTTACATTTAAGCTTGGCCTGTAGGACCTTCCAGTAAGTTGTGGGGTGAAGTGATGAATACAAACTTCTCTCCACTTCCTTGTATGAAGCCCACTGTCAGAGAAGACCTATGTCAGGTTGGTAGTTGAGGGAGCTCTGGTACACGGATTTGATTGTGCAGGGGAGGATTTGAGGAATGAGAGGATTAGGAGGGCTGGTCCCTCCTGAGTAGTAGAAACTCCTTGTTCAGTAAAGCTCTACTGAGCTCCATACCCTAAATGATAGAATAGGGAGATGGCTAAATTGTTCTACAGCCAGGGCTAAAGGATGAAGAGAATGAGATAATCAAGATTTCCTTGGGACTGTCCAAAAGAGAGCCAGAGAAGGGCCGTCAGCCACATTTCACTGTGGACCAGAGATACCTAATACCAGTGTTTGTAAGAGATCTTATCCGTCTCTCAATTCCCTTCCCTTCCTCTTTGCCTCATACTTGCTTCTCCTTAAGGACTAGCAACAAAACTTTTAATGGGGAAAAAAGACCCTTGTGTACTCGTCAGGAATAGTAAGGAAAAAGGTTGAGGGACTAAGAAAGAACAGCAGATAGGCGTCCTGGCACCTTCAGGAAGAGAGAGGAAGTGGCAGATATGAAACCGAGCCTGGAGAGATGCTGTAGGTGGTGGGTGCTGTAAAGAAGAAATGACAATGGATTGTAGTGGTTCCCTGGAACCTGTGGGAAGAGAGACCTGCCTGCACAGGCCAGCACCTGGGCCTACAGAGAAGGTCCCACCCAACTCCAATTTGGCTCGATTTGTCCATGTTCCAGGTGAACAACAAAGAAAGCTGTGGGCACTGCAACCCTGTTTGTGCCAGTTTTTTATGCCATGGTACTGGTGCCCTCTCTGAGGCCATTTCAGCCAGTCTCAGGCTGGGGTAGAATGGAAAAACTAAGGTAGGTGATGGCAGCTGTGAAGACAAGAGGAATGCTGAATGGAGCCAATCACCCTTAGTAATGGAGAGAGGGCCACATAGGCTGTGCTGCTTTGCTCCCAGGGACTCCCACACAGCCTGCTCCATGTAGCCATCTATCCAACACACGTGTACATGTACAGGAAAGCATAGCTCCTGATGCTGGTGTTTACCCAAGCCTGCCTTCCCCTGACTCATTCAGCCTGCTGATTCCCTAATTCCTAAGCTCCTAATAGTCACTTTAGATTCTTGTTATTTGCCTGGTTTCTTTGGACCATTTCTCCTGGCCACTGGGTCTCAGATGTCCACAGGGTATTTATGTAACTGCAGCTATTGGTTAGAGATACTTTACCTTGCCTATTTGAATGGTGGTGGGTATTCTGAGGGACCCACAGCCTCTTCCCTAGGCTAGTAGGAGTTGATAACTATACTGTGCCCCGATTGGGCTGCTCATCCTTCTCCAGTAAGCTGTGAGTTTTCCCCATTGCATTATTCATAGATGCCCGGTCATCTCTGCTGCCAAAGTACACAGTCTAACCCTTAGTGTCTCTAATCACAGGCCAGCCTGTATTGTGGTCTTGTGGTGTCTGTGGCCCTCTGTTAGGCTGTGAACTACTTGAGGGCCAAGCCTGACTCCTCTCTGTTCTTTTTACCTCAAATCGCAATGACTCATCTATACATATATGCTTTTTTATTTTCTGAATTCCATGAAGATAAAGTCTGGGTCTACTGCCCATCTTTGTCCAGCATAGGGCCTGGCACAAAGTAGATAGCAGTAAAGTTGTGCATAATGTATGAGTGAGTCAAAGGCTCTTGACCTTCTGTGGCTAATTGAAACTAGGGAGTGTTCTACCCTAGGGAGGAGGATGTTGCATTCCTCTATGGTTTGCGTGATATTCAAACCTGCCTAGCACTCAGCCCCAAGTGGATGTTTGATGTGTTGGCTTCCAAGTTGGACATAGTACTTTCTGGGATGGACTTTATTCTGGCTTGAACTTGATCGGTCTGAATATCCCAAGGATCACAACCAAGCCCCAAACTGAGCTGAACTCTGGAGTTCCCGTTTCACTGGCTTGTCTATTCTGGAGTGGTTTTCTGTAACTGCCATTGCTCCATGACTCAGAAGGAGATACTGGGGCTTAGTGTGTTTTGAGCATGTCTTGGCTCTCTGATATCAAATGCCAGAAATGCTCTCTGGATCCTAAAAACTACCATGACTCTGAAACAAGGAAGAGAAATAAAGAGCTTGATTCTGGTGATTTGTTTTTTATTATTGTTGGTGTTAGGAAACTGGGATGGTTGTCATCCTGATGTTGTTGTTAAGTGCCGTCAAGTCGATTCCGACCTATAGTGACCCTGTATGGGGTTTCTGAGGAGTGACTGGTGAGCTTGAACTGCCAACCTTGTGGTTCAAACTGACTTTGTAGTCCAGTGCATTAATCCACAGTGCCACACCAGGGCTCCATCATCCTGATAGTAAGATATTGCCTCAAATTGATTTTTGGAAAAAAGTTGCATACATTTAGTCATCCTTGTAGCTATATCTAATATGTATGAAACTTCTTTCCAAAAATCAATTTGAGGCAATATCTTGGTTTCCCTAGAACTTTTATTTTCAGAAAGCTTAATAATTCTTTGCACTTTCACATGTTGACATTTGAACATAGCTGCCTGTTGAAAGAAGCAGGGCATGCTGCTTTATTGCATGCTATTCCACAGTAGCTGTTAAGTGTAAGAGCACAGGTGTACAGAATCAGCCCTATGACACCAGCACCAGGGCTTGTGACTTGCACATCTTATTCTGTCTTCAAAACACAAGATTATTCTCATATTGGAGAAGCCACAAATACTTGCCTACATGCAGTGAAGTGATGGCTTTAACTGGACTTAATGGTTATTTGACTTTCTGTTGGTCCCATTGGAATGCTTAAGGCACTGCTAAATTTGACCAGGTATTTCAGTGGAACATCAAGTTTGTCAGTAGGGTAGTTTTACATTCTTCAATAGTCAATTACAACAAATTGACAGTTGAAGAATGTTTCAAATGGGCACATATTGTCAAAACACTGAGATTGATACAGTGATGAAAGATAAATGTTCAGACAAATGCTAATTTACCACTTAAAAATGGTTTTGAAATAATTATTTACATAATTCTTTAAAAATCCAGTGATCCTATTACATTGACATTTTTATTTTATCATGTTTTGATTGCTTAAATGTCTGAGTAGCTTTGGGGCTTGAGAGGAATATACACTATTACAAATCTTTATAATTTATTAAATTCATCTAATAAAATACTGAAAATCTTGAATATTTAGATATCGGTAACATATTTGGTTAATTGAGCTGCCTTAAACAGAAACTCCAGTTATAAATTTAGTATAGCTGATACCTTTGAACATTTCAAACGCTACAAATAATGTATAAAACAAACAAA